TCCCTGATCATCAGTAGCAGCAGTATCTGGGAATGTGTTAGAAATGAATTTTCTCAGGTCTCACTCTTAGGTCTCACTCCAGACCTAAGAATCACAAACTCTAGAAGAGAAGCCCAGCATCCCAGGTTTCCTCTGTCGTATGCTCCAGTTTGAGAACCACTGCTCTAGGACATTAACCAAGTTTTAAAGTAATAATTAGAAAACCTTATCTCATTGTTCCCTTTTCTCCCACTGACCAAAAAAATCCCATTTTCCCATGTGATCTTTTGACTTTTCTGTATCTTCCTGTTGTTCCCTTGTTAATAAGTTAAATAAAACCTGTGTGCTATTTTTATTGTCGTTAAATTGACATATTTGACATATAACCTTAATTTTCAGTGTATAATAAAATGATTTGATGTAAGTAAGTATATATTGCAGAATGAGTATGATAATATGTTTCATGAATATCTATCACCATAAAAATTTGTCAGCCCTCCATCCCTGATTCTGGTAAGTACCAATATAATCTCTGTATCTGTGAGGTTTTTGTTTTTGTTTTTTTTAATTTTCTGGGGTTTTTTTTTTCATACCCCTATAAATGAGATCATATGGTATTGTCCTTTCTGACTTATTTCACTTAGCATAATGCCCTCAGGGTCCATCCATGTTTTTGTAGATGACAGGATTTCCTTTTTAAGGGCTGAATAGTATTCCATTGAACACAGCAAAAATGTGGCGCATCTTTACAAATATAATGGAATATTATTCAGCCATAAAAAAGAAATCCTGAGGTAGCTGGGTGGCTCAGTCAGTTAAGCATCTGGCTCTTGGCTTCAGTTCAGGTCATGATCTCATGGGTTGTGGGATCCAGCCCTGGGACCCATGAGTCTCCTCTAGAGTCTCAACCTTTGCCCTCCCCCACTTGGGTGCATGCTCTCTATGTAATAAATAAATAAATATTTTCTAAAAAAAAAAAAAAAGAAATCCTGACTTTTGCAATACTTAAGTGTCTTTCGGTACTTTTTTTCAATGTTGTTCCACTGTCTTCTGGCTTCCAAGTTTTCCGATTTAAAAAATACATCATTGTTCTCCTGTATATAATGTCTTATTTTTCTCAGATGCTATCAAGATTTCCTCTTTATTATTTGTTTTTAGTAAATTGTGTTGTGCCTCATCATGTTTTCTTCACATTTATTTTTTTGTTTCTATTTTATTTTTCTTTTAAAATTTTATTTATTTATTTGAGAGAGAGAGAGTGAGAGAGAGCACGAGAGGGGAGGAGGTCAGAGGGAGAAGCAGACACTCTGCCGAGCAGGGAGCCAGAAGTGGGGCTCGATCCCAGGACTGGACCTGAGCTGAAGGCAGACACTTAACTGACTGAGCCACCCAGGTGCCCCTTCACATTTATTTTACTTGGGATTCAATAGTGGTTTTGAATCTGTACATTTATCTCCTTCATCAAACTGGGGAAATTTTCTGCCATGATTTCTTCAAATATATTTTCACTCTCACATTCTCCCACCTCTCCTTCTGGGACTTAAATCACACATACTTCAGGCCTTTTGATATTGTCTCACAGGTGTGTGAAGCTCTGATCAGTTTTTCAATATTTTTCTTTGTTTTGATTAGATCATTTCAATTGATCTATTTTCAAGTTTACTTAATAGTTCACTGCTGCTGTTTCCTGTCTTTTCATTCATTTCAAGGATATTGTCCTTTACTTCACCAAGGACAGTTATCATAGCCACTTTGAAGTCCTCACCTGCTAATATTATTTTTATTTTTTAAAAGATTTTATTTATTTATTTGACAGAGAGAGAGATCACAAGTAGGCAGAGAGGCAGGCAGAGAGACAAGGAAGCAGGCTTTCTGCTGAGCAGAGAGCCTGAAGCAACACAGGGCTTGATTCCAAGACCCTGAGATCATGACCTGAGCTGAAGGCAGAGGCTTAACCCACTGAGCTACCCAGGCGCCCCAACACCTGCTAATTTTAACACCTCATGCTTCTTAGGGTTGTTCACCACTGACTGTCTTATCTCTTGGCAATGAATCATATATTCATATTTTTCTTCATATGTCAAATAATTTTGGATCATAACTTGAATGTTATAAATGTTCTATTTCTTAATTATGGGTTTTGTTAAATACCTCCAAAGACGGTTGATATTTTTGTTTTTAAAAGGCACTAACTTAGACTTTAACTCTTTCTTGGGCAGCAGCTTTAATCTCTGCTCACTTTTTTTGGTTCTACTTGGGTGGCTTGGAATTAGTCATGAGTGGCTAAGTGGTCAAAGTGTAGTTCATGCATAGACTCTGGGGCCCCCCTTCTCTCTCCTCACTTTTCAGTGGTTTATTCTGTACTCTTCTTCTGCTTCCTCAGTCCAGAAAGGGGGGGGGGTCTTTTGTCAGAGTTTTAGCCTCCCTACATGGGTTTCTCCAAGTGTAGCAAATCCTGTCTTCCAAGGGTCTGCTCCCTCCTGAATCTGCTTGATTTGGTTTATTCTCTGATGTTTTCGGGTGTTTGTTTTTGTATCCTGTACAGAGATCATAGTTGTTATCAGAGGGAGAATTCACGTAGGCTATTACTTGACCATCTTGGAAGCACAATTCCATGGGTGTTTTAAATTCCTTTAAGCTTGAAAACAAAAATTTAAAAAAATAGAGAGAGACTAACATTTTAGACTATGTTAGTCCCATGGATGGTGGGAAATATGGCTTAAGGCAAATCCCTCACCATGTCAATTATTTTTGAAAATTGGCCAACTCCTACTCATCGTTTTATGCTTATGTAAGGCATACTAAACATTTCTGGATCCCCTCCACTATGACTTCCAGGCAGGGTTAGAGTAAATGTGTCTTGGAATGTTTTCATGTCACCTGGACTTTCCTTTATCTCTGCAATCTCATATTACTGTAATTGCCTGCTACTGTTGGTACTTACCCCACTACTTTGTGGGATTTTTTTTTTTCATTCAAGCAGAGTTGACACGCAATGTTACATTAGTTTCAGGCATACAACATAATGATTCCACAACTCTATCCATTATGCTATGGTCACCACTAGTGTAGCTACCCTCTGCCACTATACTGACCCTATTACAATACCATTAATCATTCCCTATGCTGTAACTTTCATCCCCATAACTGGAAGCCTGTACCTCCCATTTCCATTCACCCCTTTTTGCACTTCCCCTCCCATCTCCCACTCTCTTCTGGCGACCCCTAGATTGTTGTCTGTGTTTATGGGTCTGTTTCTTTTTTGTCTATTCATTTTGTTTTTTAGATTCCACATATAAGTGAAATCATATAGTATTTGTCTTTCTGTCTGACTTACTTCACTTAGCCTAATATCTTCTTGGTCCATCCATGCTGTCCCAAATGGCAAGCTCTTATGCCTTTTTTTTTTTTTTTTCTAAGATTTTCTTTATTTATTTGACAGAGACATAGCAAGAGAGGGAACATAAGCAGGGGGAGTGGGAGTGGACGAAGCAGGCTTCCCGCTGATCAGGCAGCCCATGTGGAGCTCGATGGCAGGATCTTGGGATCATGACCCTGAGCCAAAAGCGGAGGCTTAAGGACTGAGCCACCCAGGTGTCCTCTAACTCTTCTTTATGGCCGTAATACTCTATTGTGTATATATGCCACATCTTTATCCATTCATCATTCATCTTTATCCAATCAAGTATTGATTGACTTCTAGGTTGCTTCTTATCATGTCTATTATAAATAATGCAATAAACAGAGGGGTGCATATATCCCTGAGTTAGTGTTATTTTCTTTGGGTAGATACCCAGTAGTGGGATTACTGGCTCATGTGGTATTTCTATTTTTAATGTTTGAGGTACCTCCATACTGTTTTCCACAGTGACTGCATCAACTGACATTCCACTCTGGGATTTTTTCTTATTGAAGTATAATTAACATAAAATGTTATATTAGGGGGCACCTGGGTGTCTCAGTGGATTAAGCCTCTGCCTTCCGCTCAGGTCATGATCTCAGGGTCCTCCGATGGAGTCCCGCGTGGGGCTCTCTGCTCCGCAGGGAGCCTGCTTCCTCCCTTCTCTCTCTCTGCCTGCCTCTCTGCCTACTTGTGATCTCTGTCAAATAAAATCTTCTTAAAAATGTTATATTAGTTTCACATGTACAATCCAATTACTCAACAATTCTATACATTTCTCAGTGCTCATCAGTTTAAGTATATTCTTATTCGCCTTTATTTCACCCAAGCACCCAACCCACCCTCCCTCAGGCACCTGCCAGTTTTTTCTAAGAGTCTGGGGTTTGGGGGTTTGGGGTTTTTTTTTCCCCTTTCTTCAATTCTGAGTGAGCGAAATCATATGTCATCCATTCTGGATTCCTCACAGTAGGATATGGTCGTAATCATTTCCATGCCCAGCAACTCCCAGACAGGCCATAAACATGGGAAAGGCCTGCAGAGCCCCAGATGAGGGACTCCCGTCGCCAACAAAACTGACAGCGAGCCGACACAGCACCGCCTGGGGTGGGAAAGCCCAGGATAGGGCTCAGCACGGATCGGGAGGCCCAGAGAGACTGCACGGATTTGGAAGGCCCGGCCCGTTGCTCCGCCTCTTTGCGGCAGAGCTCAGGCCAGTGCAAACCGGCTCAGTGCCCCGACGGACAGACCGCGTCGCCCAATCCTCGGCTGCCCCCCGCCTCCGCAGTTCTCCGAGGGGACCGGGAAGGACAAGTGGCCAGCTTCCCGGGAGGCCTCTCTGAACCCGGCGGCCCGTACTGACAGCTAACGACCCCCGCTGGCCTAAGCGCGGGGGCGGGCTCCGTTCCGCTGCACTCCCTCGCCCCGCGCTCGGCGCGGATCGCCCCGAAGCCTGCGGGCGCCGGGTGTCGGGGGCGGGGGGGTGGGGGTGCGGACGGCGGGGCGGGCCCGGGAGCGGCTAGAGCCTGCGCAGTGCGGCGCCCGCGGCCGGCCGGGGATGACGTAACCTCCGCCTGCGGCCTCCGCGCCCCGCCCCGCGCCGCGCTCCGCGAACCGGGCGAGCGCTGCGCGGGCGGCGCCTGGCTCGCCGCCGCCTCCCCCTGGGCGTCCGCGCAGCCGGGTCTTTGTCCGCCGGCCCCGCGGCCGCCCGCGCTTTGTTCCCCGCGCTCGTGGGCTGGGGCGCACCGCCGAGCAGCCCCCCGCGCAGCGCTGGCGTCGTCCTCGTCCCCCTCGCCGCCCCCCGCGCGCGGCCGGGCCTTGCCCCCCATGGTCTCCCGGCCCGAGCCGGAGACCGAGGCCATGGACGCGGAGCTGGTGGTGACGCCGCCGGGCTGCTCGCACCTGAGCAGCTTCAAGGTGGACAACTGGAAGCAGAACCTGCGGGCCATCTATCAGTGCTTCGTGTGGAGCGGCACGGCGGAGGCTCGCAAGCGCAAGGTGCGACCCCCTCTCCCCCGGGGAAACTGCGGGCTGACCTAGGAGCCGGGGAGCAGCTCTTTTGCAGCGTTGCCCAGCAAGTGGGTGGGTGGGGGGCTTCTGGGCCCTGTTGGGGGCGAGGCGAAGGAAGGGAGGGCTTGTTAGCCTCCTGCGGACCCTCCTCGGGCTGCGCTCACGGGCGGGGGGGCGCCGAGAGGGCTCTTCTCCTTTCTTATTCCCTGCCCCCTTTCTTACCCCTCCCCCTTTCTTTACCCCTCCTCCTCCCCTTCGCCGCCGCCTCGGTGCTCCCGCGGCCTCTCCTCCCCTCCCCCGTCTTCCTCCCCGGCTCCACTGCGGGGGTGGAGACGGAGCAGGGGCGGGGTTTGGGGCGGGTCCAGTTCTGGGGGTGGGCAAGGGCGGCTCTAGGAAGGGGGCGGTTTTCTCCTCCGGGGTGGCGGTGGAAACCTGGTATGGAGAACGAAGGTGTCCGAGGTTCCAGCACTAGGCCTTACCCAGGAACCCTCCGGCGCGGGGGAGGGTTCGGCGGGGAGCAGGGAATGGGGGCAATGAGAAGACTTGGGACAGAGAAAAGGGACAAAGACTCCGGGGCATGTTGGGTGGTTTGCTGTGGGTCCGTCTCCTGCCACCATACTGAGCACCCATTAATGTGGAGTGTGAATGAAGGCTTACCTGCGTCAGGGAAACGGAACCTTGTGTCGCGGCCGGGAGTTGTTAGGGTGAAGCTACAACTGTGTGGTGCTTGGGCAGAGCACACCACGGGCTCCAGGGTCTGCAGGAGCAAATGCAGCAAGATGGCATCGCCCCGCCCCATTTCAGATCCGGACGTGGGTGGAGGGGGTGAGAGGTGCTGAGTGGTTGGAAATGGAGCGAGTCGAGCCACCTGTATCTGGGAAAGTCATTTCGTTACCAGCACGATGTGTTTTTGGAGAATTGCTTGTAGCTACGGAGGAGTGGATTTTTAACCCACTGAGCCACCTAGGCGCCCCATGGAGGAGTGGATTTTTTAAAGATCGGTTTGATGGGAAGGTTGGACAGTGGCGTGCCTTCTCCGTTAAGAGGCTTTAGTAAGAAACTGATCACCTCCGTGAGACGTTGAGGAAATTACATTTAGTGTTACCATTTTCAGGTAAACGTCCCATTAAGCTTATTAATGATGTGGAAGTCAGAAAATAATGGTATTATCTGAATCTTGTTACAGTGTAACGCGATTTTGCAGTTCAGTGAGGCTGGAAGGTGCGTTACGCTCTTTCTACCTTGCAGGTTTTTTAACTTTTTTTTTTTTTTTAAACATCCACTGAGATTGTAGGGATTGAGCAACCAGTTTTCTTTCTTTTTATTAGTGATGGTGTTGGGAAGCATTACCTCTTAGAATGAACTAAAATCAGAGATGATTTCTGTTAAGATCAGAGGGAGATTCTTGCTAATGGAATTATGTGGTCCTAAAAAACTACCGTGGCTGAAGCCGGTGGTCTTCGGGCGATAATCTTGTTACTGCTCCATGTCTTTAGTGTATTGGTTTAGGTTTATATGGTGTGTGTAAGAGTCCTCGCCACATTGGATTCCTAGCTTTAGGAATCCCCTGCGTTTTTCTTATCTCTCCCCTCCCCTTCTCCTGTAAATTTTTAACAAAGCTGAAAGAGTCAAAGGTCATTATTAACTTGTCTTTGTTCCTAAAGGAAGGAATCACTTTTTCGTTTGCTGTAATGTCTTGGATTAATCCTTTAATCTCAGTTACTCAGTTTGGAAGCTGTTGAAGCACATCTCTGTTACTCACTTGAAGGGACTTGAGCTGTTGACAGACAAGAGGTGGTGATAAATACTTCAAACTCCACATCTGTCAGTGTTGCAAAACCTTCTGGTGGTATACCAAGCAGGAATCCTAATGCCCTTTGTCTTCTCTGCTCCAGATTTGGGGGGGCGGGGGGGGGGGGGAGCCGTAATTTTTGTATCACTTGGTCCTGTGTAACTGTATGTCTAGCACTCTCTAGTGGCCCAGCCAAGGAAGAGTTGGTTTGACAAACGGTTTAACCCTGATGTTTAACAATGAACAATGCACCTTTCACGGCGTGTAGGATTCTCAGTAGATCTGTAGGCTTAGTATATTTTGGTTTTAATAATATGAAGTCTCCTATAAAAATATTTCAGTTTGAGTTGTAATCTCCATAAATAAACAAAGGTGCCTTTTGAGGTTGAAGTCTCAGCGACAATGTGACCATAGGAATGAAGCCTTGGATAACAGGAGAGCTTTCTCTAAGTAGAAATGGGTTATGGTTTTTGTATCCACCTTTTTCTTCTTTTGGTAGGCACAGAGTAAGAAGAACATGATCAGATTTGGTAACTTTTTGTCCAGTTTAGCCTTGAATTGCAGTAAGACTTGGGTACTACAGAATATAAAAATGTTCCGGTGTTTCCATGATTTAGGACTCAGTGCTGCCGCAGTGGGCCCTGCTTTTCTCGCATGTGTTGAATGTAGCAAATACCTTATCATTTTAGGGTTTGTGTGTGAAAAAGGAACTGACAATGAAAACATCAAGGTTTTACAGTGCTATCCGTTATTATGACATAACAAAGTCTACACTGTATTGTGAACATAGAGATACTTGAGAGGACAGGAAATATTTTAAATAATCATTCCTCTCTTTTTTTTGAACAGTTTCTGTGACTCTGAAATTTTGCAGCAGCTTGTCCTCAAAGTACAACCCTCTTGGAACACCTGGGTGACTCAGTTAAGTGTCTGCCTTTGGCTCAGGCCATGATCCCAGGGTTCTGGGATCCAGTTCCACATGGGGCTCCTTGCTCAGCCAGGAGCCTGCTTCTCCCTCTGCCTGCCCCTCCCCCTGCTTTTGTGTGCGCTCTTGCTCTCGCTCTCTCTGAGACAAATAAAGAAAATCTTAAAAAAAACAACAACAACAACAACACAGTCCTCTTTGTAGCTGTAGTAAGTACTTTTACCAGGTAAACTTTGACACAAATGAAGAATTGTCAAGCCTCCTGTAATTTTGGATCATTGCGGATTTTGGTTTAGTTTGGTCAGTAATCTGGAGGACAGTAAACTGCCCTTGAAGGTTTCTATGTGAGGCACAAAATTTGGGGCCTAAAACAATCTTTTGGTTAGAAATTCTTAGGGAAATACTTTGTTTGGGAAAGGAGCTAGAGAGAAGGAAACTTACCTGGGAAATAATAAGTGAGAGGCCGGAGGGCTCTAAGATCCCGTAGTCATACCTTTCTTACTCTAACATTTTGTTGTTTGACCTTTGTGGTCTTTGCACCACAGTTTAAATGTGGAATTGGATACCCTTTGGAAGAAAGTTGAATGATTCCCTGTTTGGAACTCTCATTCTCTCTTCATCCCAGAGTCTGCTCTGGAACCCTGGGCTTCTGTCTTGAGGAATGGAAATGATAATTGTCAAAAGGCAATTAAATAGTAGGTGTCACACAGCCAGAAAATAAATATCTGCCTTAAAATTTAGACTATTTGTAGATGCCCAGTGCTAATTCTTACATGTAGGGTAATTAGAGCCTGAACACATACAGGAATGTGTAAATAAGTCTAGATGCTTGTCAGTCAGTCTTACTGAGGAAGAGTAAAATGCATGAATGAATCTGTGTATTTTTTTTTTTAAATTGCAGAGGTGACAATATGAACTTCTTTCTTAAAGATTTTATTTATTTGTCAGAGAGCGAGAGCGCACAAGCAGGCAAAGTGGCAGGCAGAGGGAGAAGCAGGCTCCCTGTCCAGCAGGGAGTGTGATGCGGGACTCCATCCCATGAGCTGAAGGCAGCCACTCAACTGACTGAGCCCCCCAGACCTCCCAATATGAATATATTCTTCATGTGTAAAGTAAAACAACCTATAGGCACATATGTATACAGTGAGTCTTTTCTGACCCCACACAACCACTGTTAAGATATGTTTGCTGCCTGGGTCTTCAGAGATTTCTTTAAAAATCACAGGTTCACCAGGGTGGCTCAGTTGGTTAAGCATCTGCCTTGGGCTCAGGTCAGGATCCCAGCATGTGGAATAGAGCCCTGCATTAGGCTCCCTGCTCAGTGGGGAGCTGCTTCTCCCTCTCCCTCTCCCTACTACTCTGACTACTTGTGGTGTCTCTCCCTCTCTCTCTGTGAAGTAAATAAATAAATCTTTTAAAAAATTATAAATCTGCATATAAAGCAAAGTTATGTGTTTCTATTTATGTAAACATATATGCTGTGTATCTTGCTTCCGTCTTTCACTTACTGCCCATGCATACGGATCTGTTGAGCTGTGCCCTTAATATTCCATTGGATGCAAACAGTACTGTGTATTTTCCCCTTTCAAGCTTTCGGTTTGGAGGATTTACTAAGAATTTGTAAAACTTTAGCCTGGTAATCAGTTTAAAGAAGGAATAATCTTCAGCAAGTCATTTTTATGTATGTTTTTGTTGCCAAGGGATCGAAATGTGATTTGTCTACTTAACATTAAACCTGAGATGCCTTTAAAAAGCACTTTTTTGTGTGGAAAAACATGGAGAGGGAGGTGGCCAAAAGGAGACAAGTACAAAAACTAAGTATGAAAGATAAAAGTTTGTTTTAAATATGTATGTATGTATTTATTTATTTATTTATTTGACAATGAGAGAAAGCATTAGAGGGGGGAAGGTCAGAGGGAGAAGTGGACTCCCCGCTGAGCAGGGAGCCTGAAGTGGGCCTCAGTCCTGGGACTCCAGGTTCACGACCTGAGCTGAAGGCAGTTGCTTAACCCACTGAGCCCCCCGGGTGCCTGAAACATACAAATTTAAGGTAGTATAGTTTCAGAGAGTACAAGTGTAATGCCCTTTCATTTTGAATCTTTACCAAGCAACAAACACAGATCACTAGCCAGTGGATGCTTGCCTCGATGAGAGGAGCTCTTAAAAGTCAGGTTGTACAAGTGTGGCTCAGGTGTTTGGTTGTCCTATGGAAACAGAAGTCATTGCAGCTGGAAAATGGTCTTACTTCTCTTGAGTCAGTCGGTGGTACTT